AACAATAATAGAAACAGACTTACAAGAGATCCAGAAAATGAAATGATCAGACTTGAACTTTAAAATAGCAGTAACAGCTATGGAATGAATGTTTGTGTACCCCAAAATTCCTATGTTGAAGCCTTAATCCCTCTGTGATGATACTTGGAGGTGAGGACTTTGAAAGGTAATTGGGTCAGGAGGGTAGAGCCCTCATGAATGGGATTAGTGCCCTTATGGAAAGAGACATGATAGAGATGGTCTCTCTCCACCATGTGACAATACAGCAAAAAGGCAGCCATTTGCAAACCAGGAAAAGGGCCCTCAGCAGGAACCAAATCAGCCAGCAACCAGATCTTGGACTTCCCAGCCTCCAAAACTGTGAGCCATTCAGTCTATGGTATTTCTTATAGCAGCCTTAGCTGACTAAAATAATGATTAATATGTCCAAAGAATTAAAAAACAAGGCTGTGGATTTTGGCAGAGAAGTGGAAACTATAAAAATGAAGAGAAATTCCAAAACTGACACAGAAAATAACTGAGATTAAGAATTCAATTGGTTTAACAGCAGATCAGAGACAAAAAAGAAAGAACCAGTATACCAGAATATAAATCAGAGAAAAAAGCATGGAGTAAAACAGGAGGAGAAATACAGAAAAAAGCATAAGAGACCAATGTAATACCTTGTTGAATGAGGAAACAGAGCAAGTATTATGCTTTCTCCTTTACAAATGAGTTTTCACCACATTTTTTGCCATAACACTGACTTTTCAAACAAAATACCTAAATTTGATAAGTAAAAATCAGGAATAATCTCTGAATTCATGAAATAGCACCATAATGAAAGTTTCTGGACTAACAGCAAGCCCATGTCTCAAGGGAGAAATTAACATATTATACAAATAACTCATAAGATGAAAACTTATATACTTTTTTACCTTTCCCGAGGTGGTTGTTGAAGTTTTTCAAGTTTTACTACAGATGGCTGATTGGAGGGGTGCTCAGTTTGAGTCCCAACAGTAACATTCAGGTCTGGGGATAAGAATGCTGGATATTCTACTGGCTGTGGCATAATAACCTTTCTGTAAAATAGTAATAAAATTAAATATTGAAATTATACAGAAGTCCACTTCTAAAATCGGTAGCAACTATCACTTCTGAATCCTTCTCTCTTTTGCACTTTCAGCTTACCTATCTACCTTGGGCCATCAGAGGACAGAGTTAGGAAGGAAGGTAAGAGTCAGATACCCAGAGAAATACTCTCTTGATTATCCTCACTACTAAGATCACAGGCAGCAGGATGGGAAGGAGAGGAGAATCTGAAGTTCTAATGAGAAGTAGAAAGTATCTGAGTGCAGACCTCTCTCCCGATCTTTAGACTCAAATCTCTATCTCCTCAGTATTTCATTTTTTTAATCTATTAATTCTTTGGAATGTATTGTGTGCCAGGCACTGTGTTCATATGGATATGAATATCTCACTCACTTTTCACAGCAAACCTATGAAATGAGAATTATTAGATCCCAATTTAAATGTAAGAAAGCTGGCCAGAAGCATTGGCTCATGCCTGTAATGCTAGCACTCTGCGAGGCCAGGAGTTCAAGACTAGCCTGAGCAAGAGCAAGACCCTGTCTCTACTAAAAATAGAAAAAATCAGCCAGGTGTGGTGACATATGCTCATAGTCCCAGGTACTCAGGAGGCTGAGGCAGGAGGATCGCTTGAGCCCAGGAGTTTGAGGTTGTGGTGAGCGATGATGATGCCATTACACTCTAGCCAGGGTGACAGAATGAGACTGTCTCAAAAAAAACACACACACACACATAAAAGAAAGCTAGGGTTAAAGGCATTAAAGAACTCCTCCCTCCAAGGTCTTATAGCTGGTAAGTAGCAGAGCTAACATTTGAACACAGTTTCTTTGACTATAAAGCTCATATTCTTAAACACTATTCTATACTATGCATAGTGGGTAAGCACCTTAAACTCAACATGTTCAAACTAGAACTCACCATTTTCCCATTTTTCCAAATATGCTCTTTCCTCAGTATTCCCTGGTTTAGGAAATAACTGTACCAGATATATACCTAGAGGTCTATAAATGTGAATAACATCTTTTTCTCCTCCCTCTCCCCTTTCTGTCATCTTCTATCTCTAATCAGTCACTTCCTAACTGCAGAAGATATGATGAAACATTCTAAATATTTCACAGATTAATTTGTTCCTCTGCTCCACTGTATTAGCTAGGGTTGTCCAGAGAAATAGAACCAACAGGATATACATTAAAAAGAAAGAGATTTATTATAAAGAATTGGCTCATGCAATTATGGCGGCTGCTAAGTCCCAAGATCTGCACAGTTAGTCAGCAAGCTGGAGACCCAGGAGAGCCAGTGGTATAATTCTGGTCTGAGTCCAAAGGCCTGAGAATCAGGATAGCCAATAGTGTAGTTCCAGTCCAAAGGCTGGCAGGCTGGAGACCAAGGAAGAGCTGATGCTTCAGTTAGAGTCCAAAGGCAAGAAAAAGCTGTTATCCCAGCTCAAAGGTAGTCATGCAGGAGGAATTCTCTCTTATTTGCAGGAGAATCAGTCTTTTCACTGTATTTAATTGATTGGATGAAGCCTGCCCACATTAGGGAGAACAATCTGCTTTACTCAGTCTACCAATTTAAATGTTAATCTCATCCAAAAACGCCCTCCTCCCAGAATGATTTTTGACCAATATGTGGGCTCCTTATGGCCAGTCAAGTTGCCACATAAAATTAACCATCACAATTCCATCCCTTATCAACTTGGCACTTATATTCATTTCCTTACACCATACTTAATAACCAAATGAAGACAGTAACAAGGTCTTAGTTCTACCTAATGTGACACAACTATCCTGCACACAACCAAAAACACACTAACTCCTTTCCCAGAAAAGGAGATAAAGTTCTTGAGTGATGTTTACTTTTCTCCTTGATATCCCAAACATAAATATTGCGATGTAAAGTTAATAATACTTAAATAATATGATATAACTTCAATACATCTTATGTTACATAAGGGGATAAAAGAGGGAAAAAAACAAAGATCTTTGCACATACATACATAAAAAATATATTCATAACAACATAAGGAGAAAATACTCATGACAATTACAGTCCTTGTTTCTGAAACTGGTCACATGGTCATAGCTTGCATTTATAACCACCTTCTTCCTCTACCCATTCTGTATTTCCTTTAACTTCAGCATTAACCTCAGCTGGTCATGGTTCTTTACCTGATGGCATGATCCAAACCTTCATTCCCTAAGTGTCTAGGCCATGAGTAGTCCTACCTAGATTGAGCTGTTGTAGTTTTCCGTTGAAACCTTAATCACAGGGGATGGTAACATTAAGAGATGCCCTAAGGGATCACCTATATCCCAGATACATTCTTCTTTACTTCTATTGTGCAGTAACAGTTCAATTTCCCCTTGGTGGTTAGGATAAATCACCAAGCCAGTGCTGTAATTCCCTTCTTTACCTGTTGATTCAGAGGCATGAGGAACCCAGAGTGGCAAGGTGGCAGTCCTAACTTCCAATTCAGAGAAATCACTGTGTGTCCTAGTGGAAGCATTCCTCCCTTTGGAACTAAAACCTCTAGCCCAGAAGATAAAGTTGCAGGAAAAGGGAGCAAAAATTTTGCTACTAGATCATTAGGAGTAATAGGGAGTGGTACAACTCCGATTTCCACCTCTTCATTTATGGACCCCTGAATCCGGGATATGGGAGAAAAAAAGCACAATATATTGGTCCCTGATTCAGAGCATATACAACATTCAGGAGAACCTTGCTCCAGCTCTGCAAGCGCCACCTAGCTGACACTATAACTGAGTCTTCAAAAGGCTGGCCATTCCACAGTTCTACCCAGCTGCTTCAGGATAGCAGAGAACATGGTTAATACCAATGAATTTCATGATCATGGGCCCACTGCTGCACTTCTTTGGTTGTGAAGTGAGCTCCTTGGTCAGAAGCAATGCTGTGTGGAATACTATGATAATAAATAGGCATTCTGTAAGTCCATGGATAGTAGTTTTTAGCAGAAGCATTGCATGTAGGAAAGGCAAATCTGTATCCAGTGTAAGATCAGGCTTGATCACATAATACCATTTCCGTTTGATGATGGAGTACTGCTGTGCATGCCCACTTTTATGGCTTGGTAGGTCAGATAACACCCAGTTCATGATGGACAACTCAGGCTGCATGGCAACTTGGTAGCCCATGGTTAAGCATAGTCTCTACTAAGCCCAGTAGCAGGCCAAAGCTGTTTTTCAAAAGCAGAGTAGTTACCTGCAGGGAATAGCAGGGCTTTGCTCCAAAATCCTAACGGCCTTCACTGCAACTCACCTATAGGGGTCTGCCAAAGGCTCCAAACAGTATTTCTTCTGCCACTGATACTTCAGGCACCATTAGATCTGTTGGATCATATGGCCCACGTGGCAGAACAGCTTGCATGGTAGCCTGGACCTATTACTGAGCCTTCTCTTGTTCTGCTCCCCACTCAAAACTAGCAACTTTTGAGTCACTCAGTAAATGGGCCAGATTAACAAACCCAAATGAGGAATAGGTTACCTCCAAAATCCAAAGGGGTCTACTAGAGTTGTATCTCTTTTTTGTTATAGGAGAAGTCAGATCCAACAACCTATCCTTTACCATAAAAGGGATATCTCATAACACCCACACCACTGGACCCCTAGCAATCTCACTGAAGTAGAAGGCCCCTGAATTTTTGTCAGATTTATGTCCCACTTCTCTGATATAAAAATGTCTTACCAATACCTCTTGCTCGCTAGGTCCAATCAGCATAATGTCATCAATGTGATAGACCAGTGTGATATCTTATGGAAGGAAGAGGCGATCAAGATCCCTGGGAACTAAATTACAACACAGGGTTCGAGAATTGATATACCCCTGAGTTAGGACAGTGAGGTATATTGTTTGCCTTGACAGATGAAAGCAAACTGCTCCTGATGGTCTTTATTATTACTAACAGGTATGGAGAAAAGAGCATTTGCCAGATACATAGCTACATGCCAGATAACAGGGGAAATGTTAATTTGCACAAGCAATGAGACCACATCTGATACAGCAGCTGCAATTGCAGTCATCACCTGGTTAAGCTCACAATAATCCACTGTCATTCTCTAAGATCCACCTGTCTTTCTCACAGGCCAAATAGGGGAGTTGAATGGAGATGCACTGGGAATCACTATCCCTGTGTCTCTCAAGGCCCTGAGGGTGACACTAATCTCTGTAATCCCTCCATGGGTTATTGCTTTTTGCTTACTATTTTCCTGGATGGAGGGAGTTCTAGTGGCTTTCTCTTGCCTTTTCCCACCATAATAGATTTCATTCCACAGATCAAGGAACCAGTGTGAGGATTCTGCCAGCTATTGAGTATATCTATTCTAATTATGCATTTCAACATTGGGAAATAACCACAGGATGGGTTCAGGGACCCATGGGGCCAACTGTAAGATGGACTCGTGCTAAAACTCAATTGACCACTTGAGCTCCATAAATCCCTATTCTGATTGCTGGACCACAGGGACATTAAGGGTCTTCTGGAATTAGTGTCATTACAGAGCAAGTGTCTAGTAGTCCCCCAAAGCCCTGATTGTTCCCTTTTCCCCAGTGCACAGTTACCATGGTAAAAGGCCATAGATCCTTTTGAGGAAGGCTGGGAGAAAGACTAATAGTATAGTTTTTTGGAAGTAAACTAGGGTCCTTCTATGAGGCACCTGACCTCCCCATCATTCAAGGAATTCTGGGTTTGTAAACTGGCTCAAGTCTGGAAATTGAATGAAGAGCCATGACTCTCTGCTTTTATGATGCAGGTTACACTTATGCTCACTCAACTTAGAACTTTTCTGCTTATACAGATCAAGTAAGAATTTAACAGCCTCCCTATCCATTCACTTCTAGGACACCATGATCAACTAGCCAACACCATAGGTCTGCCCTAGTAAGACTATACTGATTGCTGCTTTGACCCTACTGTCCGTTATGGTAACCACAGCCACCTTGCCTTTGACAGTTGAGTCCCTTCACTTGGTTCCTGTCACCTTGGGATCCAGTTATTCTCATTGCATTTAAGTTTTCCAATTCAGTGACTGCAGTTCTGATTGTAATGTCTGACCCACAGAGAAGAACAATCACAGAGCTCTTCAAGGATGCAAGGGCATCCTTTACAAATTCATTTTTCACAGTCATGGTAAAATGTGTGTTTTCTGGACCCTCCCAGGATGGCTGAGTAGATCTTAAATGGCAAATCCATTCTAATATTATAATTTCCCTAAGCCTTTGAATCCCTTCCTCTACATTAATCTGGCATTTCTAACTAACTGTGGGCCACCTTTTATTTGATATTTCAGCCATCCAACTAAACAAGCTGTTAGAGCCCTCTTTAACTCCCTAAGCTACAATATTAAATGCAAAATCTCTGCTTCGTGAGGCCATAGCAATAAATTCAGCCTGATCCAACTTTATTTTCCTTCCACCATTATCCCATACTCTTAATATCCATTCCTACACATGTTCTCCAGATTTCTGTCTGTGTAAATTAGAAAACTCAAATAGCTCTTTTGGAGTGCAGCACATTCCTGAGGACTCAAAGAAGTAAAATTTACACACATATAAGAAGCATAAACCTACAATGATGATGATGGTGACGATAAAATATTTATTACTTGTGTAAATAGCTAACAACTAATTAAGCATTTTACTATTTGCTACCATGTTCTAAGTGCTTTATATGTAACTTATTTAATCAATATAGTAATTCAACAGGGTAGTTTTTATTTTTATCCCATTCAATAGATGAAGTACAAAGAGCCTAAGTAACTTGCCCAAGGTCGCACAGCTAGTACCTGGCAGAGCCAGGATGTGAGCCCATGCAGTCTGGCTCTAGAGCCTGAACACTTAATCACCATATCTTGCCCTGCCTACTCCTCCGGCTCATCCCCCATTGCTCCTCTCCTTGCTCCTATAATCTTAGCCACTCACAGCTAACAACTCACTGTTCTCCAACACAACATGGCCTCTCATAGCTCCCTGCTTTTACAAATGTGTCCTCTTTGGGGACTATGTCACCTCACCCCTCCAAAATCAGTCAGATGCACTATTACCATTTTTTCAAGTCTCACTGCAAACACTTTCTTTCGTGGAACCTTACTTGGTAATACTATCCTCCCCAACTCCTCTGAGAAGAATTAGAAGCTCCTTGGCTATCCATAGTTCTTTATGTTTGGCTGTAGGAGGGCTCTAATTCCACTTGCACTGCAGTAATTTTTTTCTTTTACATGTAACCTTTGCATTAAACCATGAGCCACATGAGGGCAAGGACCAGGCTTCATTTGTCTTTGTATTTGCAATGCCTTGGGGATATAGCAAACATTGAATAAATGTTTATTTAATTAATGGATGGAGAAGGAAAAAAGTCAATAAACATCAGGAAAAAATTCTACTATTTCAATAAATCATCGATATCACTGATATCACTTTATCATGGATAAAGTGTATTTTAATGATAATATCCATTATTGGTGAGAGTACAGGAAAATAAGCACTTTAGAACACAATTTCTCATCCTATACCTAATTTCCTGAACACCATTTCAACTTTTTCCATTTCTTATTCTTGGATAACACTATAGATTATATCTATTTCTCAGGGGCTCATTTTTTTTTTTTCATCAAATTATGGGTGTACAGATGTTTAGGTTACGTGTGTTGCCCCTGGTTCCCCCCCC